ATTTCTTTCTTTACTAGGAATGCTTTTCAGCTATGGTGCAATGTCATGCCAGACCAAACGTGGTCTGTAATAGGAAAACTTTGCACCAAAGCAAATTGAGTCTACTTCAAGTAATCTTATAGGAAATTTTACCAAGAACAGTAGATACCTTTTCCCTCTGTACCCCTGCTATAATGTTTTTCTCCCAAAAAAGACCTAAAATAAAAAGCAGAAAAGACAAAGTCATTGTTATCCCCCCCCCCATTAAGGGGTGAGCAACAGGCTGTTTTCTTGCCCCCCTTTATCATGCAACAGCCAGTTCATTGGAACAATTGATTTTCCCCTCACAGTCTCGAATTCAAGCGCTTCAGGATTACGTTACACATACGAGGGTTTTTATTACCATGGGAATAGAGCATTTTYACATGACGTCACAGCCACCATATTGGTGTACCTTTGACAATAACTTTGTCATTAGTTTCTTTTGTTAGGTACACCAATATAGCTGTCATCCCTATAGACCGTTTTCTCAAGATTGCATGTGCATCCAACTTGACGGGCCACAAAACTAAAAAAACGCAAATTCAGTAAAATTGAGAAGCCAGCTTTATATTTAAAGAGGAGAAAAATCCATTTGATGAATTATTCTCAAAAAAAAGTTTATAGAAAGGTCTGATAATTCTCATCATAAAGCTCCTGTTCTGGTATCGTGGCCCGTCAAGTTCCTTAAATTTGGATGTGCACACAACCTTGAGAAAACGATGTATTGTAGTCGATGATTATTATCTCTCTAGAGTAAAAACACTCTATAAGCATGGTGGCGCATGACAGAGGTCCATTTATCCGGATAATTAGTGAAATTAACATGTACCTAGTTGCCCTGCAGGTGCTTTTTCCTGTGCTGAGGTATGGTTATATCCTTGTCTTCAACCTGCTTATCCTTTTCCTCTTTCTTCTTTATCTGTTCATCATTACTCAACTTGTTTATCTTGTTTGATGCTGACAAGAAACATGTAGCTATGGTCACAGTGCGAATTGAAAAACTGTGGGCACTTAGAAATATTCCAGGAATTTTCTATTGTTTAAGGCTGTTTTAAAGGCTCTATTCCTTTCTTTGTCCATAACATTTACATTTATTATATAGTTGGGATAGTGCTGGTGCACTGAATGGTCGAAAACTGTGCTTTAGTAGTGAATGGAGCACAGTGCTGATGCCATCTGCGCATACGAAGGGCTGCTAGATCCTGCGACCRTCTTTCTTTTTATGAGACAGCCTTTTCCAAGCTCTRTTCAGTAATAAAGCACATAGGAAGCACCATACACTTCTTACACTTATTTTGTGCTTACTTCACTTCCTGTGTGCTTTATTACTGAATGGAGCACAGAAAAGGCTGTTTTATTGGTTAAATCAATGAAGCACTGATATGGATATGATATGATATACCAATATAATGGACAAAGAAAAGTATTCCAGTATATTTGAATTGGGTAAAACATTGCATTAGCCRAACTTGTTTATTGGTCTTCATATTTTTATTCAGCGTATTATAGTGTCTACTTACTCTTTAGTATGTTGTTTTTCTCATGGACTCCATTGTTTACCACATCACCATTGGCAGAATGAGATTTCAATGGCTCTTTCGACTTTTCTATTTCTCTTGTGTCTTCAACCTTTTTATTAGAAAAATAGCATTAGCAATGACTATCTTGGCCGTTATTGTCATAGTATTGTTATTATGCTACAGTGACTACCACTGCCATCATTGTCATCACCATTAAAAGCTATATTTGCACTTTTGCACTGTCTTATTTTGACTTAAATTTTTCCTGAGCAACAAATATTTCTCATGCATTTTGGGATGGACATAAATAATTTATGYCAATCAATGAAATTCAAAAGCATCTCAAACATACAGTACAGTACATATTAGGAAACAGCAATGATGTCATCAAGTTCATGTAACTGTACATCCCTAGTTACTTTTACTTTGAAATCCAACATTAAAAAATTAATTTAACAATGAAAATTTTTATCATAACTTGTGTACTTCATGACCAGACGACACGTGTTGGTCAACTATTGCCTGACTATTGGTCGACAGTCACCTGACCATCACTTCATTAACACTTCATTACGATGGTTTTGCCTACGTGTAGTTTTGGCTACTGAGGTATTTTTTGTATAGCTGTAGTCTGTAGCTGTAGCTGTAGCTATAGTCTGAACCCAGGTGAATGAATGTTAATCGAAGTGTTATGATCATCCAGGTGGATGTAATCCCGAGAAGTACTGTTTGATGTTCACTGACGTTTTGACAACCTGAGTGGAAGTCAAGTGCTTGACTCTGAAGATGACTTCCACTCAGGTTGTCAAAACGTCAGTCACATCAAACAGTCCTTCTTGGGATTACATCCACCTGGATGATCATAATACTGCAATAATAAACAGAGATATATTTTTTATCAAAMATGATTTTTGTTTATACCTCTCGGCTTTCTCCATTCACTACTCTCCATATGAGCCACAGGACAAAATGAAACCACCAGATGTTCATGGCAAACAGCATCCACAGCAAGCCATTGAAGAAAAAATAGAATGGAGCATCAGGGAGAATATGTCTTGCAAAATGGCCTGTAGAGTACAGTACTTTGTGGGGATACTGGTACAGTCTACAATAAAACCTGAAAGGAAACAGAGAGAGCATCAGATTAAACTCTGAAACATCCTCTGGGCTGATCTAAGTCAGGGCATGGCTAACTCACAGATTGAACCCTGAAACAACCTCTGGGCTGATCTAAGTCAGGGCATGG